TTGTGTCGTCGCAAATCGTTCTTTTTCATACCCCTACGGGTACCCGTACCTTACCCTACCCGTTAGTTTCGTAGCCGTACCCTGCCCGTACCCGTGCTCGGATACGGGTGCGGTTACCCGACGCACGGGTCGCAGTACTCTAACACAGGCTTCCTTCCGCAGACCGTGACAGACACCTGCTCTTCCGCTGCAGACAATGGTGTTTGTCAGTCGAAGACCGTAATAGATGCTGATAGGTATTTGCTAGGAGCAATCAGAAATTGTAACAAACATCAGTCACACATCCTCAAGACTCAACAATGTCTGTTCTTATTAGAGACCATGACATACACAATTACATTCCCTCATTCGCAATGCAAGCAAACACTTCGATCGTTTATCACGTTTTTTTTTTATTATGCTGAATTTTTTATTCGTGACATCCATAATTTTTTTGTTTTTTTTTGGAGATTTTTTACAATTTTTGTGGACGCTTACGAATGTATGCAACGGACAGGATAATGATAACAAACAGAGAAAGAATACAAAGAAATGAAAACGAACAGAATGAAAATCGAATTCGAGCCAATGATGACGATGTAGCGTGCATCGTTGCTTTTTCTTTTGTTTATTCTTCCGATACCATATATCTTGACACCGAATGCACGATGCCGGGGAAGGGATCGAACCTTCTGATCTCTGACTATAATCAGATGCATAGAACCACTACGCCATCCCCGGCTATCGTTTATCATGTTTTAATCCTACGATAATTGATTTAACAGCTTTTTCTATTGCACACTGCAATAGTAAACGGTATCATGTAATGTTAAACATTGACTATAATAGATATATAAAAAGTATAAAGGAAATCATCTTTACATATAACATCTTATTGAAGATACCATCTAACTAACCTAACATGACAAACTGATTCCAGATCTTCCACATCACTCGTTGTTAGTTTTAGAAAAAAACCATAATTATCTTGTTATTTTATTCTCAAATTTCGAAAATCATATAAAAAAAAAGTTATATAAGAATAATGTTCGTTTATCTTTTCGGCTAAATTAAGGTACTATGCGCTGATTTTTTGAGTCCTTTTTTAGGTTCATCTTGTGCAGTTTTTTCCGCTCTATCGAATTCATAAGAAATAAAAGTTGGTCCGCGTTGTTTTTGGTGTTTTCTTTCGATAAAAACACTAAAAGACGGCGCAAAATTTTCACGTATTTTTTGACCTTCCTCTGAAGTTGTGGACCCCAAAACCATATTAAAATAGGTTTTAAAGAAGACCCAAATATACAGTTTTGTAGAGCAAAACTTGCTCTATCTTTTGAGATATTATTCGATTGAAATCGATAGACTCTTAACAAAAAAAAATAATCACTTACTTAGAACGAGAAAAAATTAAACAAGAAACATTTTTGAGCTTCTCGAGAAACTCCGAGTTTTTTTCGTATCTATTCAAGGATCAGTCAACAAAGGCTAAAATTTTGGATTTAGAGGTTTTTCAATATGCTCTTTCATTTGCAATAAGAAAAAAGGGGGGTCAAAATTTTCTGTATGACGGGAATGCTCGAGTGAGCCATGGACCGTCTCATAAATGATGTCATTGAAAGCATACATAAATACAATGGTACTGAAGCATGCATCCAAACTGTAAATAAAACAATTAGAAATAATAAGAAGTATCGAAGTTTTCTAAATCATGGAATTCTGACGGAACTGATCGTAATCATGACATACGGAACTCCAATATAGCACTACATTAAAAGATCAAGGTTCGAACTGTTTGGTTTTTATGAAAATTCGTGTCGTATTCATGACAAATACTTAATGTTTTAATTATCAAATTCGTTCAGCATGTTTTACGAGATAATTTATCAGTAACACGATGTTACAATAGACTTTTTCATAATATTTTCACAACTGTTGTAGTATGTTTCTACTCATCATAAACAGTCCCATTCGAGAGTAAGTACAGGCAACCAACAAGGCAAATAAGTTATAGAGAACTGCAAAAAGATCTAAGTTAAAAACAGAATTGTTGTTCAGTTAGAGGAATAAAGAGGAATACAATGACTTACGTTTTGCGAAAAAATAACCAATGTTGATGATATGATCGTATTTTTTGACCTCGAAAATGCGTTCGCCGAGTAGAAATAGACATAGAAACTTGAAAATTTACGTAAAGATATATTGGTATCCTTTTTTTGTCCTGAAATGAAAATTTTTGCAAGATTGAGCGAACAGAAAAAATCTTAGAAATTTCAAGATATCATCATGAAACAATATTGATTTTGTGTTGTCAATCAAAGCTTTGTTAATTAGTTATTAGTCTTTCTTCAATAGTTAGTGGTAGGAATGCACCTTTATAGCATTGAAAAGCTACATAATGTAAAGAAACAATGAAATCAAATTTAGTTTTTTTTTCTAGTCGATATTGAAACGCGTATTTTTTCTGTAATTCAATGCAAGATTCTTCTACAAGCATCGATTTTCTTCGACGTTTTTGTCTATTTATTAGTTAGATGCAAACATATAGAGCTCATTTTTGTCAAGAAAATAAAATGAAGGTTCTGTTTTCTTGTCATAAATTGATGTGTTGAATTGATTATCACAATTAATATATTGTTCATTCAAAAACCTTGGCAATGACAGCCTGATTTTTCCTAGCAATGGTTTTCAAAGAATGATAATGTTCTTAGATTATACTCACAAGCTGCCAAGATATGACATCGATAAGATTGCAACGAATCCGTTTCGCTCGTGCTGAATAGTGACCACTGGTTGACGATAATTCTCGTCTTCGATCTACGCTACCCGTTTGATCACTAATGATATCAGTCACCGATTGCTGAGAACCCAACATATTCATGTATGTAACACTTTTTTAATACTTTCTTTGTTCAATCTTCACTTCCTATAGCAATCGGAATGCCTGAAATCTACATATATCAAGAAGAGAGAATATTAAATACAGAAAAAAGTTCTTGAGTTGATTCATACACTTTGAGTGACAGGAACATAATGCAAAAGAACGTATCTATATTATAATATTGAGTGAAATTCACCATATGGCTCAATATTTGCATTAGTTTTTGCTTGTGAAGTGTCGTTTTATTGCAATAATAGGTCGCCTATACTTATATTGGTGCTATCAATTTTTTTTTAACGGCAATAATAAATTGATTGCGTCAATTTCAAAAGAGAAAAGCATCCATTAGAATCGGAGTGTTGCGCTATGGGATGCTTTTATGTTTTCATCGACGTTCACTCTATCATTAACTCTTTGGCGCTGGGGACCGCATACATGTGGATTGAAATTTTGCACGTATTCCCGTCGTTATAATCTCATTTAGACTCGACCCAAAATTCTTCTTCGGTGTGGGTGTGAGTGTGGGTGGGTGTGGGTGTCTGTGAGTGCGGGTGTGGGTGGGCGTGGGTGTGGGTGTCTGTGGGTGTGGGTGTGTGGGTGTGTGGGTGTGGGTGTGGGTGTGGGTGTGGGGTGTGGGTGTGGGTGTGGGTGGGGTGTGGGTGGGTGTGGGGTGTGGCTGTGAGGTGTGGGGTGTGGGTGTAGGTGTGGAGAAAACTGATACTCACACCTACACTCGCACCCACAACTACACCCACACCCACACCCATACCCACACACCCACACCCACACCCACACCCACACCCACACCCACACCCACACCCACACCCACACCCACCCCACACCCCACACCGACACCCACACCCACACCCACACCCACACCCACACC